CACACACACACACACACACACACACACACACACACACACACACACACACACACACACACACACACACACACACTTCAATAAAATTCTAATTATTTTTCAGTGGAAGTACTGACTGTATTAAAAGTCCTTGGATAGACTAAAGACGTTAGTCCTTTTACTGACCAGAACATGAAACAAGTAAGCATATCCGATGTCCTGTTATTGGCACGCTGTAAACATGCCTGTAAAGATATGAGTCCCACTGTAATTTTTCCTACTCTGTGTTTGTGTTCGTCTCTCTTTGTGTCATTTTTTTGTTTTCATGGACGACACACGGCAGCATGACCTTTAAAGTTAGCTGACCTTTTAGCCAAATGAAAGTCCAGCTATCAGAAACAAATTAGCCCTGCACTTTTGCTTTAGTCCCCCTGTTCTAGGAAGAATTGATTCTCAATTTCTCTTGTTTTTTTATCATCCTGTTTTGTTTTTGTCTTATTCTGCCAGCCTATTGGTCATTCTCAGTAATGCTATTTATTTTTCTTGGCCTCTAGCTCTGTATCTTTTATTCCTTGTGTTTACTCATTTGTCGTTCTTTTTTTTTTCTTTGTCCACTTCCATTTCTTCATATCTATTTTTTAAAATGTATTTCTTACACTCAGTAATTTTGTTGCTGTTTATTTACTTATCACTGTGTAGAAACAGATCCTAGATCCTATGCTTGGACCAATGTTCACGTTCCATGTTAAATATTACATTTTACTTTACACCAACTGTTCATTAAATGTGTGGTAACAAAAGCAGCTGTTCACATTTAGATACTCAAACACTACCTCAGAGGATTGTTATCTTATTTCTTCTTTCCCTTTGTGAGGACACTTAAAATGAGTCCAGAAAAGCAAGTGGAAGTTGTCCTGATGGCTTATCTTTGTCAAGGCAGCAAGTGAAAGCCAGTGGCACAATCAGAAATACTTGTTTGAACAAGTAGAATCAGCTAGCTCGATCCTCTTCTGCCCTTCCTTCCAGCACAACGAAAATGGAAAAGTTAGACCACTGCTGATACTAAACAGCAGATCGCCAGGGGTCTCCTGATTCCCTGCAGAGCCTCTCAGAGGTCAGCACAACTGCAAAGTTTTCACTTGAACCTCTAAGTCAACCAAAATGAGAAAAACCTTTTAAAGAGAATAAAGGGGAGAAGTGAAGAACACTACCACCTACACTCCTAGTTCATAAATAGATCCATGTCCTAGACTGGCAGCGTGTTTGAGTTAGCTTAGTCCTAATCGAAACCACTGAGATCTGATTCATGTGCATGCTATAATATGCAAGCTATTATTGTAGCGAACTGTGGCTACATTCATCCGAGCCCTGAGAGAAGACTGAGGGGGTTTTATCAGCAAGGTTTACTGAGAGAAAGGAAGAAGAGGATCAATAACTGGCCCTGTGGTCATCAGTTAACAAAGTAGTCAGCGCTTAAAAGAAGTGTTTGGCTCTTTGGTTAAGGGCAGCCAGATGATGCTAGCAGTTGAAAAAGGAAAAGTGTGATATGAAAGTGGGTGAGAATGAGAGGAGTGGATGACTCCTTTGTTAGTTCCATACCTTGTTTAGGCTATTAAAGCTTAGAAATGCTGTTTGTTTGCCCAAGGGTCTTTTAGCTAACATGGTGAGCCCTGCTACTGTATAATAAGATGAACTGACTGCCAGCATCACACAGTTGGTTTGTGTGGACTCTACTGTCAATTGGTACTATACCAAAGACTCCATAGTCACTGTAAATGGTAGAACTGTATGAACAGCTTGCAATTATGTCAACCTTAATATATTTTTTGTCTGATGCCTTTGATGCATTAGGTGTACTGCGCCTGTTATGTTTTCCTCTCCTCCATTTTTAAAAGTTGCATTTGTTTACTATATTTGGTTTGCAACTATATATATATATATATATATATATTTTTTTTTACATGTGTGAACTCAACAAACTACTGATGCCTTAACAGAAGTGAAATGATCCAATTAGCCGAGCAATAGTTGACTGAGCGCAAGAGAACGAAGATGTGAAATGGAAAATACACTGGGGAACAATTTGATCAATCTGCCATTTACTCTCTCAATAAAGCATTTTGTCAATATAGTGTCAAAAAAAGTCTTAATAGTATTTTCTTGCATTATTCATAGTTTGCAAATTGAATTAACATGTTCTGACTTCTTTCATCTAAAATGAGGTGATGTCCTGTTCATCTTGTATGGCAAGGAAATAATCAATAACCCATCTATATATTTTCCTAAAACCATTTTTATTTCTATTGTTAACACCATGTATCACGATGTAACCACTTTATTTTTGGTTTTTACCTGAAACTTGTCCAAACATATGATGGATCATATAAATCTGATTGATTCAACAAGAAAGTAATCAAAAATGTAATGAATATTTACAAATTCAATAAAAATGTTTCAAGAACCACATAACTCAGGAATGATACCAAGGCCAAAATGTGGTTCCTCATCTATTGATAACATCATAATAAAAAGTAAAAAGCACTTAAATTGTAAAAGAAAATACAGATTTGTTATAACATATTCATAAATTATTACATTTTACCAACATAACTCAGAATTATAGATACACGTTGGAAACATATTTTGAATATATTGTTCTGGTTAGCCTTCCATCATTGGACTTTAATAAATCCTTATGTAAGGCCCAGTTTCCTTTTAGAGTTTAGTTAAGGATAAACAGTAGATCCAAAAAAAAAAACTCATGTAACCTAATTAAGAATCTCAGTTCATTAGGACGTACTACTTGAAAAGACTTAAACACACATGATCCTGTAAAGTCTAGGTCTGGATGTGCCATTTATGAGGCCCTGACACCACCATTGTTTCGTCTTTGCAGTCATTCTGCAAAATACAGTATTATGTAGGTATGGATTAGACACTAGCCTATAGCCTGCAGATGGTATTTTAGCCCCGAACCTGTTCTGTCCCTATTACCTCAAACCACCACCAGATTGGGAGATCATATAATTTAATGAGACATATAATAGCTCTTTAACCCATATCATTAGGAGAATATAGTATACCTACCGTTTGCTCTTTTGGCTGTTAAACGAAAGGACTGTTTCCCTAATTACGTGGTGTGTAGGACAGGTCATGGGTTGGGTGTGTACCTGCGTGTGTATCTGGATGTGTGTGTCTGTGTTCAGAAATTGTATGACCATTAAATATTCAACTGCAAGTGTCCCCCCTCCCCTCATTCTCGACCCAGCATCCATTAACGCCTCATCACCGTTTAACTAGCTCTGTTGTCATTCACCTCAGGGCCTCAGCTTAAACAGAAAATGTCTGGATCTGGTTTCCTGCCTAACTGGTTCAACATTATATATATAT